GTATAATATAATGTGTATTGCTCATTTAGTAAATTCTAGTAGAGATTTTGATATTCTTTTGTAAAATTTAAAAGAATAATTAAATAAATGTTACTACATCCAAAAAGCCTTTTTTTCAGTGTGCTGCCCATGATGAGTGGCTGGTGTGGGTCTACGTTTAGACCCGACTTGGTGCCTGTGTGTTGGACTACACACCAGTAGATGAGAGGGCAGCCCGGCACCTCTGGGTGCAGAGATGGGTTCTGCAGACCAAACAGCAGCTCGGTCATAAAAGAACATCCAGGAGGCAATGGTTAAAGTTAAACTTTATTTCTCATTCATCCTGTCATACAGTATATAGAACTTGTTACACAACAAACAGTACTTGAGGACACACTTCTGCTTGCAATTCAAAATTTCAGTCTAACCCATAAAAGGCAGTTTTCATCTCTTCAGGTCCAGGTTTAAGGAGTGAAGCCATGGTTACATCTCAGATTTTCACTTGCATGCACATGAACAGAGTTTGTGATAAAAGCAGCTCCTGCAGCAGCACAGATCASTTTAAATAATGAGTCGAGTGTGTGTGCAGGCTGACATCCTGATATCTGTTTYAACAGGGATGAAATGAGCAAAGTCATGATTTTCTCCTTGTGATTCAGACACTAAACATCTCTGCACCGAACCTGGAGCTGAACTCAAGAAAACCTGACTGAATCTAACTTCTGTTTAAACTTTTCATTACAGCAGCAGCAAACATGTTTCTGTTTAACACTTGTGTGKGGGGGGGCTGAGCTGCAGCTGCCTCTTCAAGATCATTTCTATTAATWCCTGATGAGCTGCATTCTGACAGAGACAAACAACAGATTCAGTCTGACAGTAAAACTTAGGACTTGTTTCTCTAAAAATAGCCCAAACAGCTTTAAAAAGGGCAGCTCTGGGTTCCACAGGCTGAGGGGACAATGATTGGTTTTATAAATGTAAAAAGCTCCAGTCTGAGCCGTGTGCTGGCCTGCTGCCATGCTGTGCTCGTGTGTGACGGTCAGAACCAGGACGTCACAGCTCTTCGCTCTCGTACAGCGGCGCCGTGTGCTGGGCGGGGCTCTCCACCCTCACAGCAGGAACGTGGCTCAGAGAGGACAGCAGCTTCAGCGCTTTGGAGCCGGGGGCAGCTGTTTTCATGGCAGGGCTGGTACGAGCTGCAGGAGACAAGGACACTGATGAGCTCAGGTACAGAGAACCCACCCTGTCTGCCTTTAGGAGGTTATTATCTCCTGACTGGTGAGACTTTCTGCTGCTGCTGCACAGGATCTACTCCTCTGTTCAGGACACAGCGAGCAGCTGAGAACACCCACAGTTAACAACCTTCTACCATTTCTGACACTCCCACTGCTGCAGACTGAGCTCCAGGGAGGAGCTTTGTAGCAGTAAGTGTTTCTGACTACCACAGGAGAGTGAAGGATTTCTCAAACATGATGAATGAGTCAAAGCAACACTGAGCATGTGTTTGATGAGGGAATGAGATTATARCATGATATAAAACTAATACTAGTCTACTTTGCATAATACCGCCCCCCTTTAAATATATACTGTATGTGTGTCCTTTAACATGACTTTTAATGACAGAATGATCCCACGTCAAAATAGTCAAACATTRAGAAAAGATTAAAGGGAAAAAATAATTAATCATTTTGATTTAAAGGGGCAATATCATGTAAAATCAACTTTCTTGAGTTTTATATCATGTTATAATGTTCTCCTCTCATCTAAAACATGTCCAGAGTCTGACTCTGACTCATTCATACATGTTTGATAAATCCTGTAGTGTCCTGAGGCAGCAGGCAGGGGAGCAGAAACCACCAGTTGGGACTAGAACCACCTCCTGGTATCAGCTCCTCCTCTGGGCTGTGTGTCCACGCTGAGCTTCCTCATCACAGAGACCCCCCCCCACACCACCACCACCCCCCACCATGACTCCTACAGGCTCTCAGCAGCAACAAATCAAACAACTGGTGAAAATGAAACTATCTGCTGAGCTCCTAACACTACTTGTTAGCACAACCGTTTTCAGATTCATAAAACCTTTGAGGAAATGTATTTTCAGATACCAAGTAAACACTGAGCTTCCATATCACAGCACCCACCCCCCCCCCTTCAGGTTATAAACAGAGCCCTGTAGAGTGAAGCAGCTGTGATGACGCGCTGAAATGGGCGGGACAGAATCGGAAGGTGGTTCTTAAAGAGACAGAGGCCAATTTCAAGGTGTTTAGAAGAGGAAGTGATGAGAAGATAAGTTTATTTTCTATTTAAACATAAAAACAGCATTTTAATAACAACTAAAGGTGACATAGATACTTTATTATGGTATAGTATTTAAATACATGCCTGAGAAACACTGAATATTGGTCCTTTAAGTAATGTCAACARCTGTGGAAGCAAAGATTTTCAACAAGTAACCAGGACAACTGAACCTGATCAAACTGGTTTATTAATTCTGACTAAATATAGAAAAAGCAGAAGTTCATGTGAGCACTGATGAGATGTCTGCAGATCCTTCAGGCAGGACGGTGCAGCTGGTGTTCAACACTCTTTAAATCAAAWCAAACTCTCTGTTGGACTGAAGTCTGGGTTTGGACTGGTCCAGGACCTTTAACTGGTTCTCTTTAAACCAGCAGAGGTCACTGTCGAGCTGGCAGTCTCTGTCCCAGTCTGAAAATACTGTCAAGAATTCCTCTGTATTCTGCTGCRTCAGTTTTTCTTTTAACACGGACTAGTTTCTCAGTGCCTGATGAAGGTAAACATTCCCCGACCATGATGCAGCCACCACTGTGCTTCACATGTTCTTAGCATGTGAGGAGTTGGGTTTGTAGCAGATGTGGTGTTGTTCTTACAGGTAGAAACGTAGCATTTAATGCTGCTATTTCACATGTTCAGGGTCTGTTGACTGACCTTTGTATTTGTTCAAATAATTGTTATGGGCAGGTTACAATATAAAATGTTTGTTATAATCATGTCTTGTGATTATTTGACAGGAGTTTTACTTTTAAACTGTAAGTGTATTTAATTTAGTTATGATGTAAATACAATAAAAATTAAACCAAGCTTTATAATAATTATCATTGTGATCCATAATGTCTGACTGGGCCTCAGGTCACTTTATGTTCAACAAATTGGGCCCTGAGGTCAGAAAGGTGAAGAAGCTCTGGTCTAAAGTCACGTCCAGCTAGTGGAACATGGACGTCTCCACGCAGCAGATGTTGTGTTATCTGATRGAGCAGAAACCTAACACTACACACTTTCATCCAGTGAGCTCTCCTCACTGCTGGACCACACTTGTCTCCAAGTGATTGTCCTGTACTCTTTATGTAAACTGAGCAGCTGGGTGCCTCTGATGTCATCAGGTTTCCTCTTGGTCACATAAAGAACAGAGCTGGACTCTGATCATCCTCCAGCTGTCGTTTGCTCTTACGGTCTGAGCGTCTCTGACAGACAGCTGAGCAGGGACCTTTACCAGTGTGTGTGGAGAAAGAGACGAATGCACTCACTGCTAACATCCAGGCGGGCGTTGCACGTAGACATTCCAGCTTCATTAATGGCAGAGAGCGTGTACCAACCAGCATCACACTTGGTCAGCCTCTCTATCAGCAAACACTGCCGACCAGAACCATCCTGGTACAGACTGGAGGCACAAAGGGRCAGATGATACAKTTAGTCTTTTAGACAAACCCTTAATCTGAAAAAATAGTTTCATTTTAATTATCCAAATCTTTAACTAATGCTAAATTTCCAAAACTTCACAAGGCATAAACCTTTAAACCACCATCCATTTAGCATTACAAAGTACTTCACTTTATGTTATGGTAATATTTATTTAACAAAGACAGAAATACATGGTCCATCAGACCTGAAGGTACTCCATGAGATGATCAGCTGAGTTTTATTGCAACAACAGGAAACACAGAGAACAACCTGTCCTGTCTCTGTGCCTCTGCTTCTCTCTGTCACTGTCTCTCCACACTACTCACTGTGTCTCCAGAGGCCTCATACTGTATATATACAGTATATTAACAAACACCATTATGTCATCTTAACAAGATTTGATACAAGGTCAATGGAAAACACAAAGATAAACACAAGTGATATCTAAGAATGATTGTTGTTAGTAAATCTTGTTCTGACTTTAATCATTCTGTCTGCAGATGAACAGCATGTCATGAAAACTTAGGTCATTAAAGGATGTCATGAATTACTGGATTAAACCTAAAAGTATTAGTTCCATTACACTTTACAAAGTGTTTTACTTTGTTACTAATTACCTGAACGTTAGGTGCAGTCTTGTATTTTATACTTTCTGATTATTGCAGCCATATAGTAAAMCAGAAAATGAGAGTTTGTCTTATCATGAAGCCTTTTTGTTAGCTGTCCTGGAAAAATAACTTATCCTTTAAAGTCCTACATACTTGTCAGGCCAAGAGTCAGTGAGCTCTTTTATTTACTTTAAAATGTCATCAWGTTTTATGATTTTAYTCTTTATCTTCTGTTTTCTCTCAGACAAAGTGTCTTAAGATCAGGAMAATATCTGTTTAGAAGTAATCCTTCTTGTTGCTGTTTATCAAACATCATTCTCTCCTTGGTCCAGTTGTCTGTTTGGACAACACACTGTATAAATGTGTGTATTTGACACTGCCTCAGGACACACATTTTGTACCACTGCTGTGTGACATGATGTGTGTCTGCAACTGCAAATAAACCCTGTTGATTATTTCATGGAGAATTTCTATTCTTGGATCTCGTGTGTCTGTCTAGGTCAGGGGTCTGCAACCTGTGGCTCTAGGGCCACATGTGGGTCTTTGGTCCCTCTGCAGTGGCTCTTTGAAAATGTGACCAAAAATAACAGAATTTTTTTGTTTTTTTACCCACAACAGAAATCAATTTGTAAGCAAATACGTGATCAATACTACTAAAACAAAAAGTAAAACATGTTAGCTCATGTTAGCCTGTTGTTTACTTAAATAAACTAGCTTTTGTCTTTCACTCAAATCCATCAGGATTACTTTTATAGAATATTAAAACTACATAATAAGAATTAGAAAAAATATGCCTGAATACTTCAGTTGTACTATTTTTAAATGAAATTAGGTACAAACTAAAGTATTTTTCTTGTTTACAAGAATATAGTATGTTTATTTGTCCTGATGAGTAAAAATAATAAAAAACAAAATTCATAATATATTTTTTAGTTTTAAAACGTCACCTCCACTGGCCATAAAAGTTCCCGAAAAGGCCTTGAAAAGGCCCACAGACCACCAGTTGATAATCACAGTTGTAGCTTGTTTTGCGGCTCTGGACACATTTTATTAGTGCGTCAGCAGCAGAGCCCTGGTCTAGGTAAAATAAAGATTATCAGCATGAACAAAGGTTTGTTCTGTTCTAACGTWTAAAGTAAAAACTACCACCTCCAGGGTGGGAGCAGGAAGTCAGACAAATGTTAGGAGCWTGGTTCATCATGATGCTGAGTGAGTTGTTAGTTGTTGTGTTGTGTTGTTGTCCTTCAGATCCAGTGACACACACATTGTTCTGATGGTTGCTGTCCTGATAAGACTGTGAGGCCTGCTGTCAGCTGACTGCAGTCAGACAACAATAAAGCCTGTTTAAAGACAATCAACTGGTTTTCTGCTCTTTTGTTCTAACTTCATGTATTTCATTAAATGTCTGCTGAAATAACAGATTCAACTGATGAAATGTTCATAAAAACAGTTGACATGAAATTGAAGTGAGCATTTTMAACAAAAACACTTCCATCAACTTGTCAACAATATCCAATTATTTTGGATATTGAAGCTGAGCTCATCTCTGACCATCGACCCCACTTCTTTCAAAATAAAACACAGTGGCAGAAACAGCTGCTGCGAGCTGCTTTTGTTTCTTTGTTTGTTTGTTTGTTTGTTTGTTTGTTTGTTTGTTTGTTTGTTTGTTTGTTTGGTTTCAGAAAAGGAGGGAACTGAAGTCATTCAAACAGATGTAAAGTATTTGTCATTAGTCCAACTTGTAAATAGTGGGGAAACCTTTTGTCCCGTCATGAAACTTGTTCTTCTACCAGAGTGAGAAGCACTAAAGTGAACCTGACAGATACGACTTGTAGAGAACGTTAAATTCCCAACGACACGTGAACAGGAAACTGTAGACTCAGTGGGGTCACAGATGTCTCTGCTCTGTGGTGCTGCAGTCTGATGAACACAACACTGATGAAGGTAAAAGGAGAAGATCAGAAAGGTGAGATGATGAAAGTGGCAGTAAAATCTGTTCCCTCTGAATGCTGGGGGAGGAGCTGAGGGTCTCCACTCAGGACAGGTTCAAGTTGATTAAACTGAATTTGTKGTGTTGGTTTGGATTTGATGCATTTAAACTTTCTTTTGTATGTTTTTGAATGATTTGAGTCAATGTGGAGTARATCATTCTGTTTACTTCTTATCTACTTTTAGTGCATGAAGTGAACTTGTTGCACGAGTCAGGAACCAAACAGCTGTGAGGTCCAACTGATGCTGGACTCATTAAACAGAACCTACATTCAGCATCACGTGAGGAGMTGTTACCTCATTCTGTTGGGGTCGATACGCAGCATGTCTTTATCTTTCTTCCAGAAAAGCTGAGGAGGAGGAGAAGCGTCCACTTTGCACTCTAACCTAATGGTGTCACCCTCAAGGGCTCTGGTGTTCAACATCTTCTGCAGGAAGGTGGGAGGGCGGAGGGCTTCCTGAGCTGTGAACAAAGGGAAGAGTTTTCACAGCTCAGTCAAATCTTTTTCCACATTTCTTCTTACAAAAAGGACACAGTCAGGTGTTTTTACCTAATACATCAAGCCTCATGGTGAACCTGCTCTCTCCGGCTCGGTTTTTGGCCACACACTCGTACACCCCGGCATGGTGCACTGTGATGATCTCTATGATGAACGAGTGCATGCCTTTCTCACACACCAACATCTTGTGGTAGTCGTCCGGACGAATGGCCTTACCGTCCAGGAACCAAGAGATGTCTGGAGCTGGAAGACCACTGACCTGAAGCAACACGGTTCTGATTGTGACACTGATGACATGTGATAGTAGTAACTTCCACAAAGCACTGGGCTGAAACAAGGCAGGGGTTATCATCCAGGTAAGCTAGCTTTGTGGCTCAATGATGTGACTGTAACAGACGGTCAGTGCTCCTCACACATAACAGACAGTTATGTTTGTATATAATAGTTTGTTAGTCAGAAAGAAAACAGCTAAACTGAGTTAATTCGTCTTATTTGACGCTGGTCTGAGGRAAACTCTCAGCTTCAAGAAGCTCCATTCATTTCTGAAAGCTCACATCTGTGTGGGACAAAGGCAGCTCCATGGCTGATTTGACCTTTTCACAAAACTGTTWAGTGAAAACATCTTAAAGGAGGTAATAAAAAGACGTGAGAAGAGTGCGTCACCTTAAAGTCGATCCTACAGAAGCGTCCCTCCTCCACTGTCAGGTCTGCAGGTRTCTGAAGGAAGCGAGGAGCGTAACATTTCTCCTGGATAGCTGACCCCTCACTGCTCCTTTCATCTGTCCCAGAGTGGTGTCTCCCCCTACAGACAGCGATTATTTATTKATTGATCAGCTCACTTAGCTGCACTTTCAATGGCTGAATTATACACTTCATTAAGACGTGCACTCACAAACACAAGCAGCCATAATAAAAGATATTTCTGCCCAGGTAGAGGTGTCTCCAGTGGTGGGCACTAGCCCACTAAAGTGAAAATCTACTAATTGTGGACCTAAATATTTCATTTGCTCTTTAACGGACTTTCTAATTTTTATAATTCATAAGCAGATTTGTGCTTTAGTGGGCTGGTGCCCACCACTGGAGACACCTCTACCTGGGCAGAAATATCTTTTATTATGGCTGCTTGTGTTTGTGAGTGCACGTATTAATGACGTGTATAATTCAGCCATTGAAAGTGC